TAGTAGTTAGTAGTTAGTAGTTAGTAGTTAGTAGTTAGTAGTTAGTAGTTAGTAGTTAGTAGTTAGTAGTTAGTAGTTAGTAGTTAGTAGTTAGTAGTTAGTAGTTAGTAGTAGTAGTAGTAGTAGTAGTAGTAGTAGTAGTAGTAGTAGTAGTAGTAGTAGTAGTAGTAGTACCAGTAGTAGTAGTAGTAGTAGTAGTAGTAGTAGTAGTAGTAGTAGTAGTAGTAGTAGTAGTAGTAGTAGTACCACCACTACTACTACTACTACTACTACTACTACTAGTATGGAAGCAACATGACCCGCAATGGCTTTTGGACCTGTTTCATGCCTTGCTATGTCAATGAAACGGTCTTATTTCTCTCTATATTATTGATCCTTCCCCGCTGCTTCCAAAAGTGTTCAAGAGTGGTGTACAACTCCCATAATATCATCTGTGTCCTAACCTTGCGTTCTGATTGGGGTTCGGTCACCAAAACGCTGCAAACTTCGACATAAAACTAGTTCTTTCCTGCACAGGGGCAGTGAATTCTTGATGTATAGCAGTTTTGACAAACATACTTCCGTAGAGCGTTTACATTGTGTTATGACATAAAGCGGGTGACTTTTCACCAGCCGGGTGACTTTTGACTAATGCTGCGTTTCCATGCGGCCGGGTGACTTTCTGCAAACCGGGTGACTAAACCCCAGCGCTAGTAGCATGTTTCGCCTATCTAGATTTGAGAAGTGCAATGAAGACAGTCTTTGCGTCCTCAATATGAACTGCGGGCTATGTGGCGATATCAAATTCCATGTTACGGCACAGGGGGCCAGCCGTCTTGACCTGTTCCAGGCTAGCCACAACTCGACCTTTTGCACCGATAGAATCAACTTGCAGCCATTTTTCAAGGTTACGTTCCATTTTGGTAAAAGGGATACTGTCATTGTTCATGGTTACCCCGTCACCTTGACTGTTCCCACTGAACTATTTATTCGTTAAATCAGGTGTTCACTGCTATGTCTATGTTGGCTTTACGCGAGCGCAAAAGACCTCAGGCCCTTCCAGGCTTCAGCAGGTCCTTTTGAGGAGACCCCACTTCACTGAGGAGTTTTGTGAAGTTCAATCATCCCAAGACCATTATGCACCCCATCCTTACCTTCACACTGGACATGCTTTGGGCCACTGGGCGATCAGTGAGTTGGTGATGTTTCGGTGTCGTCGTTACTCAACAAATGTGCGAACGCTGGAATTGAGATGAATTGAGAAGCCCTAGGAATGTGAGGACACCTTTAGCACTGTGGGGTTGGACCAAAGAACGGAGATACTGAAGATGTCGAGCATTTTAGCCCAATCATGCCCAATCCATTGCACAATGTTTATTTCCATTATTGGCCACTGCTAAATAGACAAAGCACCTCAAAGTGAAGTTGGCTTGCAAGATTGGACTTAAAGCCTATTTTGAGCACATTCCACTACTACGACCCTCCTCCTGCTCCTCCTCCTTTGATCAACAAATTCTTCACGATCTCTATCAAAGCTCACCCGACCAGTGAGACAACACCCAACAATTGGGGTGTTGCTATTGGTGTTCCTTGAACGTCTACCATGTGTGCTTTGCAAAAGCAACAAGCTTGTTGACAGCTTGAGAATTGGGTCAAAACCATTGCGGTTTAGTTCATGGTGATACAGTCAAGTGGGTCTCCCCAGTATCCTCTTTGAACATCAAAAGCCCCTCGTGCCGAGTCTACGGTCTTTGATGCTGTTGCACAGATTCCTTTCAGGAACAGTTTCACTCACATTCTTTCAGACATTCTTTCACATTGGCTAGCTGAGGAACGATTAGCCATGCGAATCTTTCTGAAGGATCAGGTTCTCACGCTCATCAACTTTGTGCTTTTCCTGCTGAGCGCCTGCGTTCTCAATCACTTTGACAGTGATGCCTCGAAGTACTGCTTGGCAGTGGTCCGGTTGCTAGCAGCTTGGCCAAGAGCGATAGGCTTGAAACGAGTTCGCACCGTGAAGCAAAGAAGGCGTGTGACATTGAGGTCATTGGTCGGCAAAGAAGGCGCTTTCCTGACCTTGACAAGAATTCCTTCACCAGTTCCACTGAATCACTCGGTGCCGACGACCAGTTCACTTCGTTGTGGCTTAGGTCTACATCATGGGCTTTGGGAAGCTACTCTACTTGCACTCAGAAGCAATGGTGAAGGCCTTTGCAACCGGTTCCTTCAAGAAGGTGGGTGGCCTGGCAGCCTATTTGAACGGCCTTTCTTGGTTGATTTGTAGAGGGGATAATCCCAAGTGCACAACCAATAGGCTGGTATACCAAACATTACAAAAACTGACCCCTCTATTTCCGAGGTTCATGGATTTCCGGATGCTTCATATATATATATATATGCATACCGTCATGAAATGATGGTGCCTTTTGAAAACGAAGAAACAGTGAAACAATGTTAGTTGTGAAACGGTTGCGTACGTGTGCCATTTTGGCTTCAAGTGTCCCCTACCGTGTCATTTCTTGTCAGCCATGGAGTTGGAGGATGAGATCCCCCTCATTCTGGGGGATGACACGGGAGGGGGACCTATAATCCTGGATGGCGATGTCGAGGAACAGCCACAGGAAAGCCTCCAGGAGCTGGCTGACAGGGCCAGGGAAGTCACTAGTATGAGGAGTTGCGATGTGAGGCTCAACGACCCCCCGCCGACATCAGGTTCTCCAACCGAGGTGGTGGACGACTCTGACGTGGAGATGGTGTTTGAGAGCCCCCTGGAGGCTTTGAAGAAGCTCGCTGAGCAGGCGTGGCCTCAGAAGAGAGTGGCCATCCAGGAGAGTGGTGGGAGTGCGGAAGACATGATCCAAAGCGAGATGAAGAAGCTCAAGTACAAGTACCCGCATGAGTTGAAGATGCCCTGGGAAAAAGGATTCGCTGGTTTGGTCTTGCAGACAGACTCCCAAGTCATGAAGGCCCCCTGTCTGAGCAAAGAAGGTACTAAGGCATGGGCCATGGAGCAAGTTGAGACCGAGGCGAAGAGTGGCAGCTCGAAGGATGAGAAGCTGGAGATCCAGGCCAGCTTCAAGAAGTCAGACAGGGTGAGAATGCCATGGGATCAAGCAGAAGCGGACGACCGGCAGAAAGTGTTCTCGGGCTGGTTGGTCATCATTGATGAGGCCAGGAGGTGCTGCAAGGCCGCGGAGATGATCGACCAGAGTGGTGAAGAGGTGTTGGAAGACATCTTTGCTCGCAAGAAGAACGGCACCCTGCAGGTCAGACTGAGTGCAATGATGATGTATGTCAGGTGGGCGAGATCAAAAGGACTGGTGGCTTTCCCGCTCACAGAGGCACAGTGCTACAGCTATGTGGATGGGTTGAGGAGAGATGGAGCTCCGGCTACGAGAGCCACCAGTTTCCGAGGAGCCCTGGCATTCTGCAAAGGGACGATCCAGCTTGAAGGTGTGGACGAGGTCCTGGAGAGTACCAGGATCGCAGGCTCATCGCACAGAAGCTATATGACTAAGCGGGTGCTGAAGCAGAGGGATGCCTTGACCGTGAACCAGGTGATGACCCTTGAAGCTGTGTTGGCTGGCCGTGAGTTCCCTATGCAGGACAGGCTATTTGCAGGGCATTGTCTGCTCTGCGTGTATGGGCGGCTCAGGATGGGAGACAGCCAAGGGATCGAGAACGAGCCCCAAGTCTTTGGAGGATATCTGGAGGGTGGCACCGCCATCCATAAGACAGATGGACTCAGAGGACGTGCTCGACGAGTTCTTCCCATGGTTGCGCCCGCAGTCGGAGTGTCAGGCTTAGCATGGGCTGAGGAATTTTTGAAGCTGAGGCACCTGGCAGGGCTGAAAGCCTTGCCAGGGATGCCTTTCCTGCCGACGCCAGTGGTAGGTGGAGGCTGGAGCAGAGCAAAGTTGGCCACGCCTGAGGCAACGGTGTGGCTGTGTGAGGTTCTTCAGAAGTACTCCGGCACCAGCTCGCTTGGAAACGTGGGAGCCCACTCACTGAAAGCGACTGCACTGTCTTGGATGGCCAAGGCGATGGTGCACGAAAAGGTGAGGAGGCTCATGGGATACCACGTGAAGCCAAAGGACAAGAGTGTCATGATCTACAGCAGGGATGCACTGGCGGAAGGCCTGGAGACTCTCACTGGCATCATTGAGAGGATCAGGAACCTGAAGTTTTGCCCGGATGCCCCTCGTAACCAGAGATGGCAGCATGAGGAAGAGCCGGGAGCATCCACAAGCTCGCCTGGGGTAGTCCCGGACGAGGAGGGGGATGAGGAAGTGATCCCTGGCGGTGAGCCGAAGCTGGACATGCTCGAGGTGCCCACTCCAGACAAGAAGATGCACCGCGTCGTGAGTCTGGAGGAGCTTTCAAGTGAAAGTGAAGAGACTGATGAGGAGTGCGGTGAGAGTGCAGATGAACGAAACCTGGAAGCTGTCCTCAGGGCCAAAATCGGTCCGCCCAAGAAGAAGAACCACGATTTGTACAGGCATGGTTTGACAGGAACACTGCACCATGGAAGTGTGACTCCCGCAAAGTTAGCATGCGGGAGGGCCATAACTCCAGTGATGTTTAAACTGGAGGAGGAAGTCTATGGCCTAGGGAGTTTCTGCAAGGTGTGTCAAGGATACGCCAAGTGACGCCGTGCGAGTGCAAAGTGGAAAAGTGTTTGGTGGAAGGGAAGTGGGAGGTAATGAGCGGTGAGTAAGAGGAGGTGAAGTAAGCTGTGATAAAGAGTCATCGGAAGTGCAAGTGAAGTGTCAGTGACATGTTCAGAGCCAGGGGAGTCGTTCCCCCAAGTGCACTTGACATGTGACCGGGAAGTCCGGTTCAGGTCGAGTGATGCAGGGAAGTCCTGCAAGCTGGAAGTGGCTCCGCGAGGACTGATGGGTCGGAGGAGTGTGTTGCGCAGTCGGTCGAAGTCGTAGTTGTGTTGTGAACATGATAGGCAGATGGATAGAGGCGATGAGGTGGAAGCAAGGTGAGGTAGAGGTTGTCAGCATGATGAAGCGGTCAATGCGAGTGGCAAAGTAGGCTCAAATCAGGCGGCCGGTGCGGTTCAGGGAGCGGCATGGCGACGCTGACAGAGTCGCAGGCTGTTTTTGAGTCGAAGTTGAAGGACATGGGGTTGGAGGGGTACAAGGATGCCATGGCTCGAAGAGGATGGACCACCCTTTCAACCTTCGCCAGCAGTTGGTCCCCTGGGTCTGGAGAGGATGCCAGCTTCGTGAGTCAGGTGGTGGTTCCCCTATTGGGGAGATGAGATCATGCTGGTCTACCGAAGTTGAGGAAGTTGTACCACGAAGCATACACAGTGGTGGCGGCAGAGCTTCGAAGCAGGCTGGAAGGGATTCAGGAGACAGATGGGAGCAAAACAAGGAAGCTGCCTCCAGTGGAACGCAAGACACGCTGGACGCAGATGAAGGTGACGTATGGGCATTTGCAGATGTCCGACCAGTTGGAGCCAGCTCATCACGTGGTGGACAAGTGCCACTCGATGAAGGTTGAAGGTGAGCTGAGGTACCTTGCCCCCCCATGAGGTGCCAATGAGGGACCAAGAGCTCCTGAACGTGAAGACCGAGGAGTTGATCAAGAAAGATGCATCAGGTCACCTCAGGGCACATGATGAGACAAAGCTGCCAGAGGCAGACACGAAGACGGACCTTCGACTTCGGCAGGCGTACACCAGGCGCGGCCTGGCATTGGAGGTTGCGGACGTCATGCCCTTCACAGCCCATGAGAAGCTCATCGACAAAATGTTCCAAGAGTACCAGAGGGAGGCACCCATGGGATATGCCGGAGTCACGCTGGCACAGATAGCAGCAGCCGATCGACGGGCATTCAAGCTGATGGCAGAAGAACTGCAAGGGGACCTTGGGCGCGATGCAAGTGGGAAGCGCCTGGCCGACAGTGCACTGGAGAAAGTCATCATGGAGCCCGCGTTCATCACTTTGCTGCTGCCATTGCCAGGAGCAAAGGCAAGTGCGAGCAAGGACCATGGAGAAGCAGTGCAAGAGAGCACTGGTTCGACGGCCAGCAAGCGCAAGTTGATGCGCGAGAACCAGAAGTTGAAGGAGAGGCTCAAGGAGACAGAAGCCAAAAAGACAAAGGCAGCTCCGCAGCCAGAAGCAGACAAGACTGTGGCCCCGAAGAAGATGCCCATCAAGATGCCAAGGGAGCTCTGGGGCTACTCTCCAATGAAGCATGGAGAGAGGATCTGCTACGGCTACCAGATGGGCAGCTGCAAGGCCGGGAAAGACGGCAAGTGTGGAAAAGGACTCCACATCTGCATGAAGTGCTGGAAAGGGGGCCATGGGGCCCTGCAGTGCAACCAGTGAGAGGAAGAGAGCACTGAGCGGCGCAGCATGGCACAGGAATGGGGCGACGACAAAGAGCCCGACAAGAGCACAGAAGCCATGCAGATGGCAGAAGCGTCGCAAGTGGACAGGGCAGCTGAAGGCATGCCCAAATCTTGTACAGATGATTTCAAATTTTCCAGGCAAGACCCTGGCAAGCTGGATGAAAATGTCAAGCGGTTTCCGCCAATTGCATTGAGATGTTTGCCGGATCTTGTAAGTTAAGTAAGTGCTTGAAGTCGCATGGATTTGCAGCGTTAGGCATTGATCACAAAATGTGTAAAAACAGAGTTGGACCTTGTATAGTTTTGAACTTATCCAAAGAGTCAAGTGCAAAGTACATCGAGCAGAAGATCGATGGTGGAGCAGTCTTCTTCATCCCGATGGCCCCACCATGCGGGACATCGTCCAGAGCTCGAGACAAACCCATCCCACGATGGCTCCAACGGCTAGGAGTACCATCGCCGGCACCTCTGCGCAGTGCAGAGCACCCAAGTGGACTACCTCATCTTCAAGGGAGGGATAGGGTGCGTGTCGAGCAGGCCAATGCATGTTACTATGTTGCAGCACGAGTTTTCGTTTATGCACATCAACATGGCACGTTCGTGTTCATTGAGAACCCCACCAACAGCTACATGTGGCAAGTTCCATGTATCAAAGCATTGTTCGACCTCCCTGGAGTGTACTTCACCACCTTTCAAGCGTGTATGCATGGGGGCAACAGGGGCAAGAAGACGTCCTTATTGCACAACTGCCGGGACTTATGCCAGCTCGGGGTCATGTGTGACCGCTCCCATGACCACAAAGCTTGGAAAGTAAGTAAGTCCCTGGATGGTAGGTGGCAGTATGACACAGCCAGTGAAGCAGAATATCCATTGCTGTTGTGCCAGAGAGTGGCCATCATCATTAGCAAGTTAGCGAGACTGAGCCCAGATCCACCCCTGCTGCCCTCCAGGCATCTTCCGGGTGGAGAGTGGCGGCTGGACGCCAACCTCGAGGCCGCAAGGCCATGGCGATGTTGCCCGAGGATGGGCAGATTGTGGATTCCACGTCTCTGCGCCTGAGGATCTGCAGGTTCTGCGTTCTTGGCAGGGCCGATCAAAACATGAACATGTCGTCAACCACCGTGTTTTTCCGCCTGGTACACGTATTTTGCACAATTTACCGTCCAAACAGGGGGAAGAAGTCGGGCAGCAGAGGACAGTTTGCTTTGGCATCCCTATGACCCCAACAGAGGCAGTTAGGAGAGCTAAGCTACTGGAACACCCCTTCGATTCCTCCTTCCAGATGCCGGACCATGTTTTGGATGCCATGTACCAAGTGATCACCAAAGGAACAGAGGCCATTCATGAGGAGAGGTCTCGAAGACTTAAGTGGATGAAGCAGAAGGCCCGGGAACTGGAGAGCAGGGAACAGGAGCTGCATGCACGCATGGAGCCAAAAGTAGCAGAAGTGTTGGCGCCCAAGAAACTGTTGTTGCTAGCCGAGATGATCAAGATTGTGGGTTATGGGGACAAGACCTTAGTCGATGACATCTGCAAAGGCATGAACATCACTGGTGAGGGCAAGGACACAGGGTGTTTCGCTCCTGAGTGCAAGCCCCCACTGCTAGAGAGGGAAGACCTATGGAGGAGTTCGAAGTCGGCTCAAGATGAGGTGGCTGGTAGAGTCCCAAAACACATGTCAAGCAGGAGTGCAGAGATAGGAGAGGGTCGAGTGGATGTCGCCCGGGAAGTCTGGGATGCAACCCTCAATGAAGTAGGCAAGGGTTGGCTTGAAGGACCCTTGACGGCATCAGAGGTGAGTGAGAAGGTGGGACCGTTGTGGACCCCGAGCCGTAGGTTTGGCATTGTGCAAGGGCAGAAGGTGAGGAACATAGATGACCTGAGCGAGTTCGCAGTGAACCAATGCTACGGCCCAGGTGAGTAGTTGGACCTGGGAGGCGTCGACGAGGTAGTCTCGTTGGCGGCAGCGTGGACCAGAGTGTTTGGGGGGCTGCGCAGTGAGGTGCAGGTACAGCTCTCGTCGGGGATGACCCTGAGAGGCAACAAGGCAGAGGAGTTTAAAGGAAGAGGGCTGAAGTTGAGTGGTAGGTGCCTGGACCTCAAGTCGGCCTACAAGCAGCTAGCTCTGTCACCGGTTGACCGTAGTAGTGCGGTGATTGCGGTACTAGATCCAGAGGAGGACGTAGTGAAGTTCTTTGTGTCGTATGTGCTCCCCTTTGGGGCCACTGGAGCGGTCATGGCTTTCAATAGGGTAGCAAGAGCATTGAGAGATATCATGCAGAGGTTTCTTTTGATGCCCGTAGTGAACTATTTCGACGACTACCCCACATCGACGAAGAGACCATGGCAATTAGGTCACAAGTGGTGATGGAAGAGGCCTTCAGGACTTTGGGGTGGGGCATAGCCGAGGAGCCGAAGAAGAGGACCCCTCCAAGCGCGTCATTCGTTGTCCTGGGAGTTGTGATCGATTTGACCCAGTCCCATGAAAACGTTGTCCTGGTTAAGAACAAAGCAGAAAGAGTGGGTGAGTTAGAGTCCGCTATTGCAGACATGAAGGACTTGAATACCTTTCCTCCGGCCACGGCTGCTAAGGTGTACGGCAGGTTGAACTTTGCGGAAGCACAATGCAGTGGGAGGTGGCTGGCCCCGATCATGGAGCCAGTGAAGAGGAGAGCCCTGATGACCAAGGCCGTGCGGCATGTGACGAGTGAGATTGAAGAGGCCTTAGGTATGGCAGCGAGGCTTTTGAGGAGTGCACCGCCCAGGAGGTTGGATGTTCTAGGAGGGGAGCCGCCCTGTCTGGTGTTCACGGATGGAGCCTAGGAGCAAGGGATTGCGTCGTGTGGTGCGGTGATCTTCTCACCCAGACTTGCAAAGCCGTTAGTGTTTGGGTTCACGATTCCAGAGTGGATAGTTAACACGTGGCATGAACATGGTCATGAACAGGTTATCACCCAGGCAGAGTTGCTCCCAGTGGTAGTGGTCAAGAGAGACTTCAAGGAAGTGACTCGTGGAGCCCGTGTGCTGTACTTCATAGACAATGAAGGAGTGAAAGAAGCTCTGGTGGCAGGGGTCACTAAGTCGGTGGCAAGTAGGACTATGCTGGTTGAGGCTATGCTACAGGATGCGTATGCGAATAGCTTGAACTGGTATAGCAGGATCCCTTCACCTAGTAATATCGCGGACGCCCCATCGAGGCTGAAGTGGAAGGAAGTGGACGAGATGGTCGATTGCGTCAGAGTTGATGTGGAGCTCGACTACAATTCATGGGGAGTGATCCGGGTAGTCTAGATAGTGATAGATGAGTTCAGGTCCAAGTGGTTTTTGAATGAAGTACCAAAGATTTTCCAAAGTCAAGTGCATGTGATGTATAGACCACGTGACTTGTACAGAAGTAAGTAAGAAGGATGCAAAACCAAATACACAGAGCAGATTACCTGCACCGTTCGCATCCCCAGTGAAAAAGAAAGAGTAGAGCGTGAGCAACTTTCGTAGGGGGCGAAAGCATACCGTCATGAAATGATGGTGCCTTTTGAAAACGAAGAAACAGTGAAACAATGTTAGTTGTGAAACGGTTGCGTACGTGTGCCATTTTGGCTTCAAGTGTCCCCTACCGTGTCATTTCTTGTCCCACCCTCACCGCCCAATTCCCCC